TCATGGATCATGTCAAGAATTCCTTTACGAAGTGGTTCTGGGATTATGACACGAAATCCCCAGAGTAGACAACCCTGATGCACAGTAATCTCCTGTCTGCGTGAGAAATATGGTTGTAAGTCGCTGTCCATTGCATCATTCCAACCACGCATGGTTGCATCGTACACCCGAGATAGCACTGGGTCTCGAGCAGTTTTACGCTTTATTTCGCTAGCTGATACAGGCAATGCCTCCAATTGCGTCATGTGAAATACATGTGCTGCATCAAAAATCTCCGACTCCAACTCTCTTTCTCGGCCATCTGTGGCTAATGGTAGGCGAGAGAGTCCATCAGCATTTCCATGTTGTTTTGTGTTCCGATACTCAATAGAGTAATCCAATCCCGATAAGAACAGTGCATACCGTTGCAGTCTTGCGGCAGTAGTAAGTGGTATACCCTTCTGCGGATGAAATATTGACACCAAGGGTTTATGGTCAGTAATGAGCGAGAAATGTCGTCCATATAATTACATCTGAAAATGTTTGATTCCCCACACAATACCAAGGGCTTCCTTGTCTATTTGAGAATAGTTTCGTTCGGCACTATTTAGAGTCCTAGATGCAAATGCTATTGGACGTTCTTCTCCAGAAGGATACGTATGTGAAAGAACCGCTCCAAGTCCGAATGGTGATGCATCGCAGGAGAGCCTTATAGGTAAGTGTGGATTATAGTGTGCAAGAACCTGTTCAGACTTCATTAATTCTTTTACCTTTCTGAATGCAGCTTGGCACTCGGTAGTCCAGTTCCACTTGCTGTCCTTTTCTTAAAGCTTGTGAAGAGGTCTCAAAACAGTAGACAAGTTGGGCATGAACTTTCCATAATAATTTACAAGTCCAAGGAATGCACGCAACTCTGTCACATTTTCTGGGACCTTAGCTTCCACCACTGCTTTCACCTTCTCTTCTGTTTTATGTAAGCCATATTTGTCAATTTTGTGACCACAAAATTCTACATTGTCTTTAAATATATCACATTTCTTGATATTCGCTCTCAGGTTGAAGTTCTGCAGTCGTGACAAAACTTTCTCTAAATTGCCGAGATGCTCCTCAGTCGTTGAACCAGTAATAATCATGTCATCAATCATACAATGTGCTCCATTGATCCCCTGCAGTACTTGATCCATGGCCCTTTGCCATACTGCTGGTGCGGATGCCACTCCATACATGAGTCTGTTAAAATGGAACAACCCTCTGTGTGTATTGATGGTGAGGTATTTCTGGTGACCCTCTTCTATTTCCATTTGCAGGTATGCATTTTTAAGATCCAGTTTGGTGAAGTGTTCTCCTCCTGCAAGGTTTGAGAATATTTCATCCACCCGAGGGAGCGGGTACTGGTCCACATTGATACATTGATTCAATGTAACTTTAAAGTCACCACATATCCGAACCGTGTTATCTTTCTTTGGCACCACGACTATGGGAGTTGCCCACTCACTATGCTCCACTGGTTCTAGGATTCCTAAGCTGAGGAGTCTATCCAGCTCACTATCCACAGCTGGTTTAAGCGAATGCGGCACAGGTCGAGCCTTACAAAACTTTGGCTTGGCATCAGGTTTCAGTGAGAATTTGGCCTTTATATTCTTCAAAGTACCAAGATCTTCTTTGAAAACTGACTGATATTTCCAAGAATGTTCTGAATCCCTTGTTGAGGTGATACTGACTGAGAGTCTACATAATTCATGGATAGTCTATTGATCCATTGCTTACCACACAAGGCATTCATCCACTGTCGTCCGAGTAACGGTGGTCCACCTCTCTGGACAATATACAAAGGTAACACTTCTTCTGTCCCCTTCAGAAGTACAGGTACTTGAACACAACCGAGTGGATTTATGATTTCTCCTGAATATGTCTTTAATGTAATGTCACTATTTTCCCACTTTAGACCTTTGAAGTGCTTCACAAAGTCTGCCTTACTGATAATGGACAGAGCAGATCCTGTGTCCAACTCCATCTTTAAATCTGATCCATTAACCTTTGGCTGTATCCATATAATTTCTTTGGAGTTTTTACTCAGTTGATGAATTTCCAAACTGGCTATGTACTCCTCCTTATCACTGTTTTCCGTAAGAAAATGTGCCTTCTGTGACTTTTGTCTTGACTGACTATTCTTGCTACGACACACACGTTTAATGTGGCCCTTTTTCCCACATTTCCTACAGTTTGCATTTTTGAAATGACAATCTTGCTGGAGATGGCCCTCTTTTCCACAACGATAACACTTTGTCTCTGTTTTCTGTGCTTTCTTAGCTGGGCGTTTCTGACTTACTTGGAACTTGTTTACAGATGCTAATCCACGATGCTTATTCTGGAGTTCAGCAGCATCCTTGGTGGCTGTTTCCATGGCAACACATATTTCCAGTGCTTTGTTCAATGTCAGTTGGGCTATGGAGAGTAACTTCTTCTGTGAGTTCTCACAGCGCAGTCCACAAACCAAACGGTCTCTCAATGTATCGTCCAGAGCACCTTCAAACGCACAATGTTCTGATAGTTTACGTAACTGGGCAATATAGTCTCTAACACTCTCATCAGGCCTCTGGTCTCTCTTGTGAAAACGGAAACGTTCTGCTATAACAATCGGTTTAGGACTCAAATGGTTCTTTAGGATGTCAACGATTTCCTGGTAAGTTTTATCGGCTGGTTTGGCAGGCGCAGTCAAATCTCTCAGTAAACTGTACGTCGGACCGCCGATTACACTTAATAACACCGGTACTTGTTTGCCGGCATCAACATCATTCGCTAGAAAATATTGCTCTAGTCTTTCTACATAAGATTCCCACTTTTCTCTAGAGTCATCAAAAGTATCTATTTTCCCAATCAGCGAAGTTGCCATGTTGTTGAGAAAATTCGGGTCACCTCGTGTAAAGTGAAATTCAAAATTCAGACTTGCGCGCTTTGCAACGATAATGAACACTTACACACAATGAATGTCCCGAAAATTCCTGATGAGTTTACGTTAACCTCGTCGCCATGTGTTGTGTATCTGGGCAAGATTACTAGGTTACTAGCTTCATTTGTTTCAAGCCATCAAGGACCACACCATTGACCGGAAGTAACATTTATTGAAGAACACATATAACATACAAAACCAATTAAAGTACACAAATCATATCCGGAAAGATATACTACATACAGGATCGAGCGTTGGAAGTTATTTTCAGTTGGGTGTGGAAGCGCAGAAGGAGGGGGCACACATTTATTTATTCCTTGCCAAAACTTTATTGATATTGCTACCTGCTGCATGCCCTTTCTATAGGTACAGGTATGTTATCTCACACCCATTGTTAAATTAGCTACACACCTGGGAAGATTTCAAATCTTTAATCGCCATTATTTACACAAAGCAAAGCTCGGGGAGAAACAATAAATGTGACTTTTTAAAATTCTATTTTTGGGGGGGCCATTGCCCAAAACTGCACTGCTAAAAGCACATTGAACAGGGAATAGCATGTCTTGCCCTAGAGAGCATATCGAACAAAAAATAAACACATGGTAAACATTTATCTCTTCATATGAATGAACAACCGTTCACGGTAGCTCAGTCGGTAGAGCGCTCGCTTCGTGATCGGGAGGTCGTGAGTTCGAATCTCGGCCGCGACTGACCTAAGTCGATAAAAAATGGGTAGCAACTGTTCCTCCGCCATGCGCTCGGCACTTTGAAGTGAAAGTTGCGGGACCTTCGGATGAGACCTTAAAAACTGAGGCCCCGTGTCACGGCAGGCGTTGGCACGATAAAGATCCCTCACTGCTCAATGGCCATGAGTGCCGAGTAAAGGTCAAAATTTGAAGCCCTTCACCGGTATATGGTGACGTCTCTATATGAGTGAAAAATTCTCGAATGGGACGTAAAACAACATACATACAATCAATCATATGAATGAAAATATTCTCTTAAATTTCATGTTTTCACTCAAGATTTATCACGTTGCACTACCCGGACCTTTAAATGTAATTTCTTCACATTTTCTTATAAAAGGCGGACCTTATATGTTATTGTATTAAGTTCCCCACCCCGAAGACCTCAAAACAAGGCGGACTACATATGCGACACCGTGAGCATAATAAATTAGGGGGGTCAGCAAGGAGAGGAGGACTCCCCCATTTTTTTCCAAGGATAACTTTTTACTATTGGAAATGTTCATTGAAAGACTAATTATTGCCACCCCCACCCACCCCCACCCACTTTTTGGTACAGTATAGTAAACTAAGGATAATGTAGTGTGTATGAATAAAAATTGGTAGTGGAAGTTTTTGGAACCTCCCTCCCTACCCCACACCTCCGAAATAGGAATTTCAATTTCAATTCAATTCAATTTATTGATTCACCAAACATGTTGACATACCACCATGTTACATACGGAATGAAGAGTGATTATTAAAACATACTTAAGTACATACACATGTGTACAAATCAGTGAAGTCAACTATGTTTACAAATTGAAGTTTATTCATAATCATTTGGCAACCAGTATAATATGAACAGAGATAAATTGATTAAAGAATTTAATAAATATGTATTATTGAACTCTATTTTTAGAACGCAATTCAAAACATTCATGTAAAAATTCACATAGCCTTCTAGAATGAACAGGATTACAAAATACTTCACAATGATTTTCCTTCAACGTGTTACATGTATCATTTAAATTACAGATGTTCAAGGGATAATACTTTTTTCGTAAATCTTTATATGTAGGACAGTTATATATGAAAAGCATTTCATTTTCTACAAGGGTTTTACAAAAGTGACAAAAACGAAATTCTTTTTGGATACAAGGCTTTAAATATCTGCTCGTTTTAATTTTTAAAGGGTGTACAGAATTCTCAGTTTTATTAATTTAGAACGCACAGGTTTATTAATTGAAAATTTAAAGTAGATTTGTAATTATAAGTATACTCTACAGGTTAACTGTATCTGAATAAGTGTAACTATAAATGATTTCTAACTTTATACCTTGTAGGATGGCAAGGAAGAAGCTGCGATCAGGATATCAACGAATGTGCTGACCGATATTTTTGTTCGAATGGGAACTGTACAAACACAGTTGGTAGTTTCCACTGCACCTGTCCTTCTTCTGTTTACGGTCTGAAATGTCAGCTGGATGAGGATGAATGTCTGCTAGAACCATGTAATACGGGAGAATGCGTCAACACGATCGGAAATTATACGTGTAACTGTGCAAGTGGAACAACTGGCAGAAACTGTGAATCGTTGACTGCAAACCAATGTCATGGGGATACGTGTAACAATCATGGACATTGTGATGTCAAACATAGAAAGACCGTGTGTACGTGCAACGATGGATATACTGCTCCTGACTGCTCTAGAATAAATTATTGTTACAATAACACCTGCTCAAATCATAGTACCTGTCATAACGGACGCAATTCTTACACCTGCACCTGTAATGGTGGATTTTTTGGCAAAGACTGTCAGACACTGAATTATTGTTATAACAAGAATTGTTCTAACCACGGAACTTGTCAAAACGGACATAATTCTTACACGTGTCAATGTAGGGCTGGGTACCTAGGTAAAGACTGTGAACAAACTTACTGTCCTCATCTTCAGTGTCAGAACGGAGCCTCTTGTATTAATGGAGCCTCTAACTATACGTGTAAATGTGTTCCAGGGTTTAAAAATACATACTGTCAAACACGTGATTACTGTTACCATCAGAACTGTAGTGGACACGGTACCTGCCATAACGGTCAACATAACTATACTTGTATCTGTAATCCTGGTTTTCTTGGAAGTACCTGTGAACACGACTATTGCTTAAATAATACCTGTAAAAATGGTGCAACTTGTCACAGTGGAAATTCAAATTTTACTTGTTCGTGTAAACCTGGTTATATAGGAACTCAGTGTGAAACACGTAATTTTTGCCACGGACAGACATGTAGCGGTAATGGGAAATGTAATAACGGACAAAGTAAATACATTTGTACCTGTTATGGCGAATATACGGGAAAAGACTGCGAAAAACAAAATTATTGCTATAACAAGAATTGTTCTAACCGCGGAACTTGTCAAAATGGACATAATTCTTACACGTGTCAATGTAGGGCTGGATACTTGGGTAAAAACTGTGAACAAACTTACTGTCCTCATCATCAGTGTCAGAATGGAGCCTCTTGTGCTAATGGTAACTCTAGCTATACGTGTAAATGTGCTCCAGGCTATATAGGATCCTACTGCCAAACACGTGATTACTGTTACCAACAGAACTGTAGTGGACATGGTACCTGCCATAACGGTCAACATAACTACACATGTACTTGTAATCCTGGTTATTTAGGAAGTAATTGTCAGCATGATTATTGCTTTAATAAACTTTGTCAAAATCATGGTACCTGTAAAAGTGGAACCTCAAATTATGCATGCTTATGTCCTGCTGATTATATGGGACGTCATTGTGAATTACGTAATTATTGCCATGGACACAGCTGCAGTGGACATGGAACTTGCCAAAATGGAAAGCAAGGTTACACATGTCGGTGTAAGTCGGAATACCTCGGTCATAATTGTGAACTGAATAATTATTGTCATAGTAATCTATGTAAACACGGGAACTGTTCAAATTCAAACAATGAATATTCTTGTTCTTGCTTCGGTGGATTTACCGGAACAAACTGTGACCAAGTTGATTACTGTTACGGAAAGAACTGTAACGGACATGGACAATGTCAGAACGGTCAGAATAATTACACGTGTAATTGTAATCCTGGTTTTCTGGGAAGTAACTGTGAATACGACTATTGCTTTAATAATACCTGTAAAAATGGTGCTACTTGTCATAGTGGAAGTTCTAATTACAAATGTTTGTGTGTGCCTGGTTATATAGGAAGTCTTTGTGAAACACGCAATTATTGTCATGGACAGAGATGTAGCGGTCATGGGACATGCCATAATGGACAAAGTATATACACATGCGCCTGCCAACCAGATTACCGAGGAAAGAATTGTGAACTGCAAAATTCCTGTCATAGTAAACCATGCAGACATGGAAACTGTACCAACACTAGTACAGGATATAAGTGTTCTTGTAATGAAGGGTATCTAGGAAAGAACTGTGATGTAATAGATTACTGTTATAACAAGCACTGCTCTAACCATGGTACTTGTAACATCAGAGGGAATAGTTACATCTGTACCTGTATTAATGGATTTATAGGAAAAGACTGTCAGACACTGAATTATTGCTATAACAAGCATTGTTCTAACCACGGAACCTGTCAAAACGGAAATTATTCCTACACGTGTCAATGTATGGCTGGGTACCTGGGTAAAGACTGTGAACAAACTTACTGTTCTCATCATCAATGTCGGAATGGAGCATCTTGTGTTAATGGTAACTCTAACTATACGTGTAAATGTGTGCCAGGGTATGAAGGTTTGTACTGCGAAATACGTGATTACTGCCATCAGAATTGTAGTACAGGTGAATGTGTCAACGCTAACGGAAGTTATACATGTAACTGTGCAAATGGAACAACTGGTACGAACTGTGAATCACTGGTTGCAAACCAGTGTCACAATGGTACGTGTAATAATCATGGACAATGCCGTGTTTATCAAAGAAAGGCCATGTGTACATGTAACGAGGGACATACCGGTCCTGACTGTTCCATTTTTAATCCATGTGCTCACAACCAGTGTCAGAATGGTGCTACGTGTGTGATATCTGGAACAAATTACACATGTCATTGTGCTAACGGCTTTCGAGGAAACATTTGTGATAAAGAGGATTATTGTGCAATGACTCCCTGCAGAAATTCTGGATCTTGTACTAATACCAATTCTGGATATAATTGTTCGTGCACTGATCATTTCATTGGAGAGAACTGTAGCATTCACAATTACTGCTTTGGACAAAAATGTAGTAACCGAGGGGAGTGTGTCAACGTCAACAAGATCGGGGGTTACCATTGTCAGTGTAGGAATGGAACAACTGGTAAAAACTGTGAAACATTGACTGCACATCAGTGTCAGGGACATGTGTGTCAAAATAATGGAACATGTCATGTTAAAGAAGGAAAAGCCGTGTGTATTTGCAACAATGGATATAGCGGACTGGACTGTTCCATAAAACACTCGTGTGATTCAAATCAGTGTCGGAATGCTGCTTTATGTGTGATGGCTGGAATGGCTTTGTTCCATTCTGCATGCTTTTTAATTCTATTTTCAATTTTGCTTTAATCAGTATCATGGTGGCCTCTATAGAAACTGACATGAGCTACACTTTGTATATGACGAACCATAAAAAGATGAAAACCGTATAATCAGAATTTTTTGTATAGAGAGTATATAACTATACAATTTACAACTGCATACTTTTTGTAAAATATTAAATCAAGTATTTTATGAATGCATCATTTTTTTTAAAAAAAAAAATATGGTACGTGGTGCATAAATTGGATAATTTTCTGATTTAATCACGGGAATTTGTTCAAAAATATATGCCTATCTTTATAGCCTAGAGTCCGCCTACTATATACACGAAAACAGAAGAGATGAATCTAAATATGGTCCCACTGCAAAGGATCTAACTTGTTTGTCGTTTTTTAGGATATTCTTTATCAAGAATTTTTTTCTTTAATACGAATAATACCTACAGTGAAAACACAGATATCTAGTACATGACTGACATTTTGATGTTATCTCTTTTTCGGTATCCTAGAATTCTCGGGTAACTAAGTACACCAGCCCCTGTGATTTAACCCGTCAAGTGATTATTGCTTTCTGATTTATCTTTTAGTGAGGTGTGAAATAAGAATAGCTGTAAAAAGTTCGCTCAGATTAACCAAGATAATAGATTAAAGTTTCAGTTCTAGACCACGGTGATCACGGTCAACCTATCATCTTAACAGACTAATTCATATGCAGTCAGCTATAAGACTTAGTGTGTTTGTCAAGTAAACCGATAATAGATTAATTGCTTGTCTAAATGTATTTAGGTTTGTTTCGATCACTGTTCGTTATCTTAACTTCTTTCATTTCAGTCATATTCTATCTTGTTTGAAAATGAAGCATCACAAATTCGAGGGATCAAATTTCATGGTTTGGGGGAAAAAATCTGTTCGTGGGAAATTAATTTTATGGTTGACAAAATGTTGAGTTGTTTTAATTTAAAATTTTTAAAATTTCGTAAAGTACGTGAATTTATTGGACTCTTCATACCAAGAAAACAACGAAATTAAACACACACGAAACTTACAAAACTTCGAAGTACATGCCAAAAAATAAAGATCTTACAAAAAAGCAGCATACCAACATTTATCACGTACCAGATAGCTTATAGTGCTTTATCTCATGAAGAAATATGGCCAAGGTCCAGAAATGCCCGTATGAGAAAGAAAATTCGGGAATTACATGCATTTTGCCTTGGACGTGTTTCGACGTGAAACTCAAATTAACAATCACAATATAAATGTAAAGAACTTTTCTTTGAAGTATGAAGAAACAAAAAACGTCATCTCGGAGAACAAAAATGATCATTCCCACGAAAATATTTGGAAACTGGTTTACTGAATGTTAAGAAATTATAAAACAAAACCCTCTATAATATCTTTAAAAAAAATTAATGATTATTTTCAGCACTTACTAATTTTTTTCTTCTAAAATATGTCCTCTCTAAATCTTTGACATTTAAATATCTATTGCTATATTTAAGTGTATAAATAACAATTTTGAGACCATTTTGTTAATCACCAAAACTGAACCATTGTACTGAACCATTGTGAAATTTAAGTAAAGCATTTCCAAACCGCCAACATAATGTCGAGAAATTTGCTACGAACGTTTAACATTAATAAACAACTAGCATTTACGTTTTCACTACATCGGTTCAATGTCAATTGAGTTAACCTTTATTCTTCTTAATATATTCTATTTCTCTTTGTTCAAAAAGTGAAAAATGAAACAATATCTTTTTTCAAAATTTGTATACATTTGTACCATCCAATAACAAAATGGAAAGGAAGTTTGAAATTGCTTGATGCAAAAGTACATCATAAAAAGTGAACATTTTCAAAGCACCTGAGCAAGAAATCCAAAGATCTTTTTTAACCTCATTACTTTTTTTTTCGGATGAATTATAGAGACTGTGCTTTGATTAAAACATGATGAAATTCTCACATTGAACCGTAAGTACATCAAGATCCTAAATATATATTCTTTGAAGACAGCCTATGCAATTGTATGGAAAGCCGTAGGTATGGAAAGCCGTAGGGTACCACCACATTATTATTAGCTCACCTAAGCCAAAGGCTCAAATGAGCTTTTCTGATCAAAATTTGTCCGTTGTCTGTCGTTGTCGTCGGCGTCGTTGTAAACTTTTCACATTTTCATCTTCTTCTCCAGAACTACTGGGCCAATTTCAAGCAAACTTGCCACAGAGTATCTTTAGGTGAAGGGGATTCAAGTTTGTTCAAATAAAGGGCCACGCCCTCTTTCAAGGGGAGATAAAAAAGAATTAGTGAAAAATTAATAGAATCTTTTAAAATTCTTCTTCTCAAGAACCACAGGGCCAGGAAAGATGAAACTCATTTCTCAGGAACAGCAAAGCCCTGATTGGTCATATTCATATGGAAGCATCCTCAGGTAGTGTAGATTCAAATTTATTCAAATCATGACCCCCAGGGGTAGGGTGGGGCCACAATTGGTTTACATAGAAATATACGGGGAAAATTTTAAAAATCTTCTTCTTAGAGAACAGCAAAGCCTTGATTTATCATTTTTATGTGGAAGCATCCTCAGGTAGTGTAGATTCCATTTTGTTCAAATCATGACCCCCAGGGGTAGGGTGGGACCACAATGGAGGATCAAAGTCTTAAATAGAAATATATAGGAAAATATCTTCTTCTGAAGAACTTCAAAGCCATGATTAGTCATTTTGATATGGAAGCATCCTCAGGTAGTGTAGATTCAAGTTTGTTCAAATGATGCCCCCAAGGATAGGGAGGAGCCACAATTGGAGATCAAATTTTTACAAAGGGATATATGGGAATTTTTTTTTAAGTTTTCTCAAGTCCAACAAAGCCATTTGTTATATTGACATGGAAGCATCATCAGGTAGTTTAAAATTCAAGCCCCTCCCCCCCCCCCCCCCCGGTAATCTTTTCAATTTACTGAACTGATTTGTGCTTTTGCTAAGCCAATGTGCTCAGGTGAGCGATGTGGCCCATGGGCCTCGTTATTTTTTCCTATATAATTATACCAAAAATAATTATCTCTTCCAAAAATAAAAATCTTGCTTTTTTGACAACATTATTATTTTTCCTGCAACAATTATAATCTTGTCTGTCGAACGTGTACACATTATTTTTATTTTTGTCCTAAAATTATAATTATTCACACTTCACAATTATAATCTTGCCAGTCAATGTGGACACATTATAATGTTTCGCCTCCAAATTATAATCTTTTCGGTCGATGTCTACACACATTATTTTTATTTCGCCTCAAAATTGTAATAATTATTCTTACTTAATAATTATAATCTTGTCTGTCCATGTGTACACATTACTTTTATTTCAATTATATTCCACATCGATCATACAATAATTATAATGTTCAACAATAATAATCTCGACCAGAAAAGATGCAACATTATTATTTAGACGCTTGAACAAAATCAAACGTTTGTATGATTCTGATGCACAGCACAATTATAATCGTTCAGCGATTTCGAGAAAGATTATTATTTGGACGCTTGACAAAGGAAACGTTTGTCTGCCGAAGATAATCACGTGACTCAAGGCCATGTGCTAGTATCAATACTGACAACAGTGCGACAGTGCCAGCGAAAGTCAGGCGGTATATCGGTAAATAAAGATGATTTTGTGATATCAATGTACAAGTAAGTGATTTACATTCATTCGATAAAGGAAATGTCTCAGAAATCAGCTGTCAGCATATTGTAATTGAACTACGGCTTCCGAAGAAACTAGTTCGAATTATCTCTGTACCTATGTATAGGGGATGGAGATTGCATGGTGATTTTATGTTCTATATGTAGATAAAGTGGCGATAAATTATATGGTATATCTTTACTAACAGATATATCTTTACTAATATATGCTCGTATTTTACAGTTTTAGCTTGAATTTTCTCTGCATAAATCATTTACATTGAGTCTTACTGTCAGTTGAAAGTCTGACTATTGATGACTTGTCTTGATTTGCTGATTTTTTGTAGTTATCTATGATTGAACCAAAACATTTCTCTTAATATGGCACCAAACACCTATGTTTGTGTCTTTGTTGTTTGTTGTTTAAAGTCCCTCTGGAGAATTTTTCACTCATATGGACCTATACTCAGCACTCAGGGTCATTGAGCAGTGAGGGATCTTTTTCGTGCCAGCACCTACTGCAACACAGGTTTATACGGTCTATTCCGAAAGACCGGTCTCCACCTCCCGCAATGGGATTCGAACCCGCAACGTATGGATCAACTCCTTACTCCGCGACTCTAAAGCAAATGCTTTAACCACTGCGCCACGCAGGCGACCCTATGTTTGTTAACTTGAGCCTATGTTTGTTAACATGAGCAAGAGCTATGTTATTGTTAATTTTTACATTTTACCCGGTGTGTTCAATTAACTACCAGTTAACTGCGCAAATCACTAAACACAATCAGGCAACACTTGTGTGTTGGATTTGGTTTTAGCTCACCTGAGCCAAATGAACATTTTGACCGTCTGCAAACTTTTCACATTTTCGACTTCTTTTCAAGAGCTACAGGGCCAATTTCAACCAAACTTGCCATAAAGTATCCGTGGGTAAAGGGGAATCAAGTTTGTTCAAATGAAGGGCCATGCTTACTTCTAAAGGGAGGTAATTACGAATTTGTGAAAAATTAATTGCATCTTTTAAAATCTTGTCAAGAATTTAACCACTGGGCCAGGAAAGATGAAACGTGTGTGGAAAGATCTTCAGGTAGTGTAGATTCAAATTTGTTTAAATCTTGACCCAGGGGTTAGGGTGGGGCAACAATGGATGATAAAATTTTTACAAAAGATTATACATAGGAAAAATCTTTAACAAATTTGCTTCTCAAGATCAGCAAAGCAATGATTGGTGATATTTATATGGAAGCGTCCTTAGGTAGTATAGATTCAGATTTGTTCAAATCATGACTCCTGGGGGTAGAGTGGGGCCTCAAGGAAAGTACCCACTTATAGGAGGAAGAATCTATAA